TCACACGACTCGTGTGCCTTGCCACACGACTCGTGTGGCTTGCCGACACTTTTGCTCTTAATCATTAATCTTCTCACACGACTCGTGTACTATATCACACGACTCGTGTAGCTTCACACGACTCGTGTGGCTCATCACACGACTCGTGTCAAAATCCCGAGGCTAACTTTCATCACGTCTCCATCCCACACGACTCGTGTGCCTCTCCACACGACTCGTGTGGCTTCACACGACTCGTGTGTCTCTTCACACGACTCGTGTGACTTGTTCCTTGAAATTTCTTAATTTCGGTCCGATAACTTACTATCTTGGACTCGAAATCACTTATTTCTTGGAACAATTACTCATAATAACTGAGATAACTAAAAGGGATATTACACTTCTGTTGCATGCTAATCAACGAGAGGTAAGATTTCTCTTGCACCCTCACACTTGCAAATTGGTTAAGGAAACTCGAGCTGAATCCATCAAAGTCCCGAATCGACCCCGCTGGAAGTTGATGAAACCAATCTTGGGCCGACCCTGTCAAAGTCGTCAGGAAGGCGCGACATTGTACTGGGTCGCTGTAACGATGAAGCACGGCCATATTTTCAAAACTCCTCAAATGTCGAGACGGATCTGTGGTACCGTCATACCATATGTTCAGCTCCCTGAAGCCTTTGGGTAAGTCGGCTCTTAGGATTTGCTGCGAGAATGGGTGTTCTTTGGCTCCTCTGCTCTTCCTCCCGTCGACTCGAGCTTGCAAGTCGCGAACCTGTGCCAGCAGTTGCTCCAACGTCTCGTCCCTTGCTTGTGGATTAACGGTTCGAATGGACGATTCTTCTTCATCTACCCTTCTGTTCTGTTGCACATTCGACTGGGCTTGTTGCTCACCGCGTGGCTGCTGCTCGACTCGAGAGGGGTACTCGACGCGAGGCTGATGCTCGACTCGAGGTGGACACTCGACTCGGGGCTGCTGTTCTACCGGCGCTATCTGCTTCATCTGGGCTGCCACGGCTTCAGCAATCATCTTCTGCATTTCACTCCTCGTCATTGTCAGAGTCTGTTCCTCGACGCGGGGTTGTGTCTGTTCTGGAACCTCCTGTATCTGTTTTCCCTCGCGTCGAGAGGCCTCCGTTGGCTCCTTCTCTCCATCTGGGTTAGGGTTTTGACTTGTTCCTGCCTGAGTCAACACTTGTAACTTTACGCCGGTTGGAGTCACAGGCGTTTCTCCGCCCAATGTCAGCCCGGGTGGTGGAAGTCCTCCGAACGGCGGCATTCCCGTCATCTGAACTACGGAGTGTTTGGTGGTGGGAAGTGGTGGTGGCCTCTTGTCCATCCACGTCCCTCTGAACTCCTCGCTCAGGTTCCTCTGCAAGCTCTCCTTCTCCGCCATTGGCAAACAGATCGGAACTGGGTGTGAAGCTCTTTCTTCCTTTAAGAACTCCCCACAGACGGCGCCAAATGATGGGTCTACTTCTAGATCCGCAGTAAACCGGTGGTTGTGAGTTCAGATCTGCTTGAACCGCCTTGAAACCGTTGCTAGATCGCAAGAATCCCTGCAAAAACTCAACGCCGGAGGTGTTTCCGGCGTAGAGCCTCCGACGCTCAAGTCAGTATGAGAGTGATGAAGAGAGGCTGCGCAGCAGCTATGGGGGAGAGTGGGAATGAATGAGAGTTAGGGTTTAGGATTACCTCATCTCCTTTATATAGGAGTGAATACTTACGTGAAGTGCCCAAAGTACCCAATCGGTGGACCTAGAAGGTCCAAAATGCCCTGGTCGATTCGTCTCCCCTTAGTGCTGAGTCACCACAAGATTCCTTCTTATCCTTCCTAATGTGGAATGCGTCGGATATGTTGCAAGTATGGTGAATCGACATCATGTCCTTGTTATTTAAGATATGTGAGGTCGACTTCGAGATCTAGGAAGTCGACTAATGGATATGCACAGATTCGACGGCTCCACTCGACTAACTCTGAGGCTAAGTCGTATTCATGGAATCGTCTTAGTTCAGTCGACTTCTGGGAGTCGACTTAGGATATCTAGATGACCGGGAGCTGTACTCTTTTCTCCTTTCATCGATGTCGATTAGTGAAAGTCGATAGATTAAAGTCGACTTGTGAGAGTCGACTAGACCGGACATCTGCTTCTTAATTGCTCTTAGTAGGATCGACCCTAGGAAAGTTGATTCGGGCATGTCGACTGAGTCTTGTCGACCTGCGAGTAATTCGAGTGGTTTGTTGGTTGAGTGAGGAGCTTCTGGACCGGGTTATCCTTATGTGGCTATATCAATGTTCAACTAGGTCATGCCTAAATTGATGATGAACCTGTCTGTCTTGCACTTCAGCTCGTATTTGCAAGTAGCGACGGAAATTTGTTGGATAACCTTGATTTGTTTCTAGAAGCCTTCAGAACTTTGTTGAGCACCGAGATAGGATCACTCGAGATAGTACAAAATGCGCGACAAAGCAACATATCTTCCCCCTGTGTCCACGATATTGCCGGCGCTTTCCCCCGTCTTTTTGGCTCAGGTTCCTTATTTTCTTCTGTCTCCGTATTAAGACAAATATTGTCAAGACCTTCAACCTCTGGCCCCGTGGTAGCTCTTAGGGGATCTTGTGAGCCAGTAGGCTAATTACTCATAGCTGTTGGTATAAATTACCATGTTGAAAAGACATGCCCAAGTGAATTTTGCATTCCATACTGGGATGCTATTGGCCACATATATTGAGAATGATTCATGTTCATCGCATTTTGTTGTTGAGGGTAGACATGATTTTCTAAACTTTGGGATATAGGAAATGAGAGAATTGGTTGATATGGAAAATTTTGAAATTGGGATTGCAATTGCATTGCAGGAAATTGGCCAAAAACGGGAGGTTTACTCCTACGATAGTGAGAATTTGCTGAAGACGGACTATCGTCCTCGGAAGAATTAGGCATATTGAAATTAGAAAAATTTGGGTTTCTATCCATTACCGTTTCTACACTAAAATGAAGATGTATGTTTTATACTTACACAAATCTACTCATGGTTTTATAGCCGAAAATTCATATAAAAATCAGAGTTGAAGAAAGCATGCTATCATGATATGATAAGATGCAATAATATAACACTACAATTTGCAATAGTGAAAGTTTAGCACGGGTGGAATCTCATGATGTGACAACACATATTGACCAAGAATTTATCTTTAAGGTAGTGCATAACTTTTCATTTTGAAGTGACAACACATATTGACCAAGAATTTATTTTGTAAATAAATAAATAATACAAAAATTAAGGAAGTAATATAAAAGTGTAAAGAATATAAAAAAAATTACGCAATTGAAAATAGCAAAAAATTGTAGTCATGAAAATTTTAATTTTAGAATTTCATATTTTAAAAGTATTAGTAAAATTAATATAATTGCAACTCGTTCTTATTTCAAATATAGTATTACACATTTAATACATCGTTTTTTATTGTTTCTTTTCGACAACAATTGCAACTCGTTCTTATTTAAAATAATTTCTTTCATTTTTTTTTCAGGCTGTCAAGTAATTTTTTTTAAATCGAACAACCTCGTTTTACTTTTTTATTTAACGAGCAATGTTTGTTGAAGTTTGTTCTTCTTCGAAGAAATATGGTGTAGATCAATTATTTTTATTATTTATAGTCAAGTTATTTTTTTAACATTTAAAATATTTTATTTTATTATTTATTAAAATTAATAGCTAAATCAATTTTTTTATTTTATTATTTATTAAAATTAATAGCTAAAATTAATAGCTAAATATGGTATAGATCAAATTTTAGTTTACAAAATTTAGTAAATAAATGAGTGATGGCTTTTAAATGTGGGCCCAATACTAGTTACACCAATTAAGAACTCAAACCTACACCCTCTCCCAACTAGAGTAGCTCAACCGAAAACCAAATATTCTGAAAAAATGATTAATAAATGTTTCACACGGCCGCCTTTTGCTGAATTAATTTGTGGTGTTCACATACTTTCTAGAAAGCAAGCAAGAAAGAAAATTAGCATGCTTTCCATTATTTCTACCTCCTTACATTTGCAGTCAACTCACACCATCCACATTTCAGAACAACAATCTTAATTACCAAACAATTATTGTAAATAGAAAATACAAACACCATTACGCCAAGTTCATTCAACTAAATTTTATCCCACTCAATCAATTTGCTATGAGTAATAAGAAGAGATTGAAAGGGGGTCTCAAGGATTGGGACAGCCGGATAGGTCCAACTAGTGTTGTAAACGAATAGAATCGAATCGAGCTTGGGTTGTTCGAGCTCGTGTTCGTTTACATTCGAACAATGTTTGTGTTCGTCGTTTATTTTCGAGCAAAAATCGTGTTCGAGTTCGTTCGTTTAATTATTCGTCAAAGTACGAGTTCGTTCGTATTCAAATAATTTAATACGTAAATTTTTTAAATATGTTTGATTAACTCGAAATTTGACCGTTCAAACTCAAAAATAAAAGAATAAAATAAAAATATTTTTATATTTTAATTTTTTTATTAAAAATATAATGTAAATATATAAAAAAATAAATAAAGTTACGTTAAATTTTAGATTTTTTTATATTAAAAATATTATGCAAATATATAAAAATTAAAATAAAATTATATTAAATTAGTGTTCGTGAACATAATCGAACTCGTGTTCGTTCGATAATTAAATGAGTCTAATTTTCTGTTCGAACTCGACTCGATAAACAAACGAACAAGCTTTTGTTGAACTAGAACGAACTTTTGTTTGGGCTCGTTTACAAATTTTGACTTGTTATATTACAAATTAAAATCACCTGTTATATTACAAATAAATAAATAAATAAATTAAAATATATATCTCGATAATCGAGAAGGCTATTTTGACTTGTCAATCCTGACGTCCTACGCTCTTTACACGAAAGTGGAGGATAACTTACCAGTCAATAAACCAAATTTGATAAATAGAGATATAAAATGAAACTCATTAAAATAAAGATCTCTCTCTCTCTCTCTAACACAAAATGAAATTCAGAATGGTATTGTTGTTACTAATGACCATAAACTCCCTCTCATCGGCCCATTTTTATCCCAATTTCACATCCGTCCCAGCGTCCCTCCTCCCCAATGCCTCCGCCTGGTACGCCTTCAAGAAACTCGCCGGCTGCCACAACGGCGCCAAATCCGTCGACGGCCTCAACAACCTCAAGAAATACTTCCGCTACTTCGGCTATCTCAACTCCTCTTACAACGACTCCTCAAACGACTTCGACGCCACTCTCGAGGCCGCCGTCAAAACCTACCAGCTCAACTTCAACCTCAACGCCACCGGCGAGCTCGACGCGCCGACGCTCGCCCAGATCGTCCGGCCCAGGTGCGGAAATCCCGACGCCGTCGACGGAGCCTCCACCACGCGCCGCCGTGCCTCCTCCGCCGGAAACGTCCACGCGGTGGCCCACTACTCGTTCTTCCCCGGCCGGCCGCGGTGGCCGGCCGGAAGGACGCGGCTGACCTACGCCTTCCTGCCGGAGAACGGGGTCCCCGACGGCGTCCGGGCGGCGTTCCGGCGGGCGTTCGGGCGGTGGGCGGAGGTGACGCCGCTGACGTTTGCGGAGGCGGATTCGTATTACGGGGCGGATATCCGGGTCGGGTTCTACATCGGTGACCATGGGGACGGTGAGCCGTTTGATGGGGTGCTGGGGACGTTGGCCCACGCGTTCTCGCCGCCGGCGGGGAGGCTGCACCTGGACGGGGATGAGGCGTGGGTGGTCGACGGCGGGTATCTTGAGCCGGAATCGGCGGCGGCGGCTGCGGCGGTGGATCTCGAGTCGGTGGCCGTGCACGAGATCGGGCACCTGCTTGGGCTGGGGCACAGTTCGGTGGAGGAGGCAATTATGTACCCGACCATCTCGACGGGCGCCCGGAGAGTGGAGCTCGCAGGGGATGATATCGAAGGGATTCAGGAGCTTTACGGGTCGAATCCGAATTATAACGGGTCAACGGGTCAGACGCCGAGGGAGGAGAGGGATATGAGTGGTGGTGGTGGAGCCCCACGTCCGTGGAGGTGTCGGGGCATCTTGTTACTTGAATTGTTTTTATTTTCATTATTATTACTATTTGTTTAAAGTATATATATATATTTTTTTTTTATTTTGATATTTTATTTTTTATTGTTTTGTATTTATTATTATTATTCATTGTGGAGATATTAGATAGAGTGTTAATAATTACGGCACTCATTTTTACTATTCACCGTACCCAAAAAATACTATTTTGCCCTTACTAAAAAATAATAATAAAAAATTGTATTTTTAATTTTTTTTTAAAGATTGTCAAAAAATTATAATAAAGATTGTGTATTATCTTTATTGATAAATGTGGCCAATCAAAAAATAGTGTTATAACACAAAATCCAAAAAAAATAAAATTCATAAAAAAAAAAAAAACT